AAAAAAAAAAAAAAAAAAAAAAAAAAAAAAAAAAAAACACCTTAAACTATAAATAAAGACAAATGTGTTTATAATCCCAAACTCCACATTTCTATTGTTTTCAAATAAATTATCAATGAATGAAGACTCAGGTAAACTTTAGTGAAGAGATACAATTATTTGAAGTATATAAAAACAAAACCACCTCACTTAATTCCACTACAGGCTCTCTCTTCTCTGAGGCCTCCTCCACTTACCCCCCAACACACACACATAGACACACAGACACACACACTGTTCTTCTATGTCCACTCTTATTTTTCTTCAGTCCTACAAGCTGGGGATCTGATAAGACATATATTTTTGCAAGCTTTATACCAAAATACTTTTTTCATTTTTCAGAGACGAAGCAGAATGGTTAGGTCTGAGATTTTTTTTGTGTTACTCAGCAGTGTTAGCAGAAAGATCTCTTGAGTACTGCATGCTCTGTGAGACCAGTTATGAATAAATAGTAAGGTGGGGTATAAGGCAGAAAAAGGCATTCACAAAGCAAAGGGGTTTCCAGGGAGTAATGTAAACAAACTGAGTAGAAGTAGGCATTTGTCTATATTTAAACATTAGTGTTAATTTCTCACTGATTAAGTCACCCAGTAAGAACTGTTCCTGGCAGGCTGGAGAGATGGCTCAGCAGTTATAACACTGGCTGCTCTTCCATAGGACCCGGGTTCGACTGGCTGTTTCAGAACTTCTGATGCCCTCACAGACTTACATGTAGGCAAAATACCAATGAACATAAAGTAAAATTAAATTTATAAATTGTTTTTGACTTATAATTCTATTACAACCCAAGCTCATGTCAAACCTCTGAGCCCATTCCTCATCTTCAAGATCAAACCTTTAGTGCTGTGATAACAAGTGTTACAGAGTCTAAGAGCCAGCTACTGGGCTAGAGTTCTGTACTCACTGCACTCACTGGCTTCTCAGGATGGGCTCCAAAGCTAGATGTCACTCACTGATCACAGGGTGAAGCCAGCAGCACTGCCTGCGAATTACAGTATTCTCAAAGCTCTGTTCCCTCTGCTGGCTTAGGGCGGGCGGTGGTGGCGCACGCCTTAATCCCAGCACTCGGGAGGCAGAGGCAGGCAGATCTCTGTGAGTTGGAGACCAGCCTGGTCTACAGAGTGAGTTCCAGGACAGGCTCCAAAGCTACAGAAAAACCCTGTCTTGAAAAAAAAAAAAAAGAATGTCATTCCTTCAACTCTTAGAAGGGAATATTCTAGAAGAAACCCTAGGTGTACAGACAACATTGGAATAGAGCATGAAGCAGTTCTAAAATGTTTTAAAGTTAAGGCTCAAAATTCTTTATGTAGTTTAAGGTAGCTTGAGCAGCCTAAACCAAGTCTGCCCTTACATACTGCCTCTTCCTTCCTAGCCCTCTCTGGCCCCTACTAGAGGGCAAGATTCTTACTCTGAAAGGGAGTGAAGTTCAATCTAGGTATGATCTGAGGTCTCAAAGTCAACACAAACTGACGTTTTAATTTATCTTTCCCTAAACTCCTGTACTACTTCCTCTAGCAGGAGAGAAAATGGATCTCTTCTGAAACCCTCTGAAACTTTACAAGTGTCAGCTTTTCTAAAGAGCCCTTTTTGGAGTCACTCCACAGTTTCCAGGCCAAGAGTATATTCAACTCAAGTTTAGAAAGACCTGGAGGACCTGGAGGACCACTGTGTAAATGTGCTTGCCACATAAGCCTGATGCCCCAAGTTCCAACCTGGCAGGCAACTCCAAAAAGCCCTCTTCTGACCCCCACACACGAGCCTTCCCATACCACACTCCAGAAAGTCGGTTTTTGATGCCCACGCACGTGCCTTCTCACACCACACTCCAGAAAGTCGTCTTCTGACACCCAGGCACGTGCCTTCTTACACACCACACACACACACACACACACACACACACTCACTCACTCACTCACTCACACTTTACTCTGAAAAAGTAGATTAAAGGCTATCTGTACTGAGATGAGGCAATAACCCTCATCTTTAAAGGAACAAACACAACGTGCCAACTCTAGAGATGTACAGCAACTTATCCAAAACCACGGTAAAGCAAATGGCTGAGCATAGTCATGGACCTAGGTCTCTCACATCCATGCCTTTTCACAAAAGAAGCCATGACCTGTAAATTGGAATTAACTTAGGCTCTGGAAAAACTAAGTATTCTCATCAGACACAATCTAGGGAGCATATAAATAAGGAAATAGGGAAGGAATCCCAAAGAAAGAAACTGGTAAGGCTGATTCTCTCTGTTGAGCCAGGTTATAAACTGCTGACAAAGGAATGGCAGATGGAAACTGGAACAGAATGTAGAAAACCCAAGGCCTGAGCCCTCTGATTCCCAAGGCTTTCCTGGTCAAGCATCTGTATGTCCTGCTGGAACTCCATTTCCAGAAGTACCCAAGGAAAGCCAAGGAGACCCCAATCCCAGACTAGTGCTGTCTTTTCCTCACACTCAGGTGGCACAGGGTGCAGACCGCACACCTCCTATTCTGACAAGGAAGTGGCTCTGGAGGACAGTGCAGGCTGGGATGGACAGCAGGGTAGCAGTTCACTATTCTAGTTTCTTTTGAAGCTCAAATGTGTACGGTGCCAAGACAAACATCCAGAAAGAAGCATGAGATGAATACATTTATTCCAAAAAATTAACACATTAAAAATAGTTAAACTTGTCCAAGCCAACTTCATAAATTCTTTAACCTTTTATTAAACAAAATGTACAACCCAAAACATCACACTACGGCGGTAATAACACGGGTAAGGGAAAGGGTTACATCTATGACATCTATGCTTGTAAAACAGAAAACACATCCAATCCCAATTTCAGATTTTCTAGTTTACAACAGAAATGGTTGATAATTTAACATAAAATGTTACTGGACCACAGTATAATGAGCAAAGGTCATTTCAAAACTAAAAGTGACCTCAGAAACACAAACACTCCTGGTATTGAGCCAGGAATAAGTCTTACCGGTGCGTCGTCTTCTGAATCTGAGCCTCCCAGTTTTTCTTTCGTTTACTGAGGCCATTTCCAAACAAGTCTGTAAGTGACCAGGACCATTTGAAATTGAAGCAAAGGCAACAAAGTATGGAAGGATGGAGCTAACATGCCAATAAGGGAAGTTAAACAGCAAGCAAAGAGGCTACTCACGTTGCACTTCTAACAATGTTAAGGCAGTCTCATCCGAATGAATGTAGACCTAGGGGAGGAACAATCCTTTCTTCAGTACTTTCCCATTTCAGCAAGCTTTTTGGTGTTTCTCCCAGAGAGCCATCAATTGCTCAGAAAGGTAGGTAGGAATACAACACAGTAACTGAAGTCAGCTGTTCCCTCCCCCCCCTCACATTCCAGAAATGGCGGCCTCAAAGCCAAAATCAAAGCACACTTTGCGGTGAGCCAGAAATTCATTTGACTTTAATGACAAAGAAATAATTTGGCCAAAAATCTTAAAAAAATTAACAAAATATTTTTAACAGATATGTAGAGAAGTTGTTAAGACCGATTTATCTAATATTTTAAAGGACAAGGAGTGGGGGAAATAAGCAAATTTTTTTAGCTCCCATGAACGTTTACTGTGAAGGTTCCAGATGAGATTGCCAACTAGTCCTGGATCAGCTGAGGTCCAGTTTTTAACACCCGATATGATTCATCCATTCAGGTAGTCCTGGCTGTTGTAGTCATGAACATTGGATCTTGTGTGATCTGGGATAACATCAACTGCAGCTTCTTGTTCAGGCATTTCCTGAGGGCCCATATTGCCTCCAACTACCTGATCCCTAGAAGGGGACCCTGAGGTTGGAGTTTTCACCAAATTCAAAGCACTGTCATTGTCTTCACTTACTTGAGAAACTACATCCGAGACAGATACATTCAGAATTTCTAGTGGTGGTGATCCCATCTCCAAGGAATTGCACTTAAAGTCATCTGGCTCAGACAGCGGAGAACATAGTTTCTCTCTTGGAACTCCAGATGTCCGTGTGACAAAGTCAACAAGGTCTGGAAGGCAAGGAGATGGTCCAAGGCCTGAAGGACTGACTGTTGTGGATTCCATTCTGAGTAAATCTTTCGGCAATTGTACAGTTTCTTTTACCTCCTCAGACAACATTCCTCCAGCCAATAGGTCAAGGGCCTGGTGTGTTCTCTCACCTCCCATGTCATGGTCAACATTCTCTACAATGTGTCCTGTTTCTGGGCAGCTAGAGGTGATTCTCCCATTTCTGGAATTAGATGAACTATGTTCACCCTCTATTTCAAAATTAAGCACCATAGTCTTGGGAGATTCTAATGGAAACCCAGAAAAAGATGGTATTGGTTCAAAGTCACTGGGACTGGAGGGATCACATACTACAGTTAATACAGAATTTTCTTCAGACATTCTCTGTGACAAGGCAGCTGGTGATCTACATGCTTGCTCTGTCTGAGCACTGCAGATTTCAGCATGCACATCCCCCAGATTCCTCAGGGCAGCAAGCCCCTCTACTTTTGAGTGCATAGCTTCAAGGTTTTCCAAGGCTTTGCTTTCTACTGTCACTGTTAGTTCTGGACAGGTATCTTGTAGCTCCACAGCTTCCACCCCTAATTTCTCTGGACTCCTTTCTGGTTTCCTTGGGCTCTCCCAAGTCTCTGGCTTCTTTAAACACATATTTGATCTAGGTGGAGACAACAGAAGTAATTCAGGGACACCTTTTGGATTCTGGAGTAACGATGGAAATGAGTCTATTTTTGCCCTTTTGGAAGAAAGAGACTGACTCAATTCAATTACTACTTTACTTGGACTTTCATGTCCTGTCATCAATTTCCTAGACTGTTCCACCTCTTTGTCAATTGTTGATAATTTGGGTTGTCCTATTTCTTCTTCCCATGTGTTTCTATTGCCGTGGTTCAAACTGGAATCTTCTATGCTGTGGAGTCCAATGCTGGTCCCTGCTTCTTCTTCAACTGCTACCTTTCCTTTTAATTCAGTATTTCTCTTCACTTCTTTTTCTCTACAATTCTCTAACTGGTCCAACTCTTGGTTCTTGTTTTGATTATCCATGAAGTTAATTTCTACCAACTTCTGAGACCCCTTGGTATGACAGTGTGTATCTGATAGATGAGATGCCAAAGGTGAGTCTGTATCAGGTGGCTTTGGTTCTCTCAGATCAAATTTGATTTTACCCTCTGGAAGTCTATCCTTATCACTGTCGCAATGGAAGGAAGCAGAAGTCCACGTGGTCAAAGTGTCTGTCTTTGGGGTAATCATTTCATAAGGCCTGCTTTGGCACAACCTTGTCAGAGGCTGTAGGAAGCTATAGCTGCTGTCTCTACTTTTGGGGTCTATATGTTCTATAACTGACCATTTCTCTATAGACACCAGACCTTTTGAAATGGAATCTTCAAGTTTGCTGATTACAGGAGCAGTGACCAAACCATTATCTTGAGGCAGGTCCTCTGAGGATACACTACTGTTCAAAGCAGAAGTGGAAGAGGTATCTGAAATTTCAGTTCTAGGAAGGCTGCCATTTTCCAATGAACCACTACTCAGCTTAGTCTCATGGGCCCCCTTCCCACCACTGCTGTAGAATATGTCATACAGGTCCTTAGCATTGGCTGTTGCTAAGCACAAATTTCGCTTTTCTAATTTTTTGGCCTGCTCACTGAATACACTTGAGAGGGGTGGTGGAGGTCGCACTAACATAGAGATTAGGGTCTGATCCCGGTCACTCTCACTCACCCCAGGAGCTGTCTCATCAGAAGGAATGGCAGGTGATTGTTCTGACGCCGTGAAGGCTACAGGCAACCCTTGGTTCAAAATCTTAGGACCTTGGAAGCCAAGCCCGAGAGTCTGAGCTACAACTGAATTAGATTTCACAGAAGTTAAGACAGCATCTGTTTGAGCAGGAGATGGGGCAGACAGATGAGGTATAGCCAGGGGTGGTGGTGGTGGAGGTGGAGGTGGAGGTGGTGGTGGCGGCGGCGGCGGCAGAGCCAACATTTGCTCAGGTACTTGGGGTGGCTCATTCTTTGCAGCCAGTTCCACTTTTTCCTCTGCAGAGCCTTTTAGAATCACCTCTTCCCCTCCAAAAGCTTTGGAGATGATATCTGGAGGCAAGAGTAGATCAGATGAAGACTCTTTAACCACTGGCAGAGGTCTGGCAGAGGTCCCAGAGGACTTGATAGACAGAAAGGTGTTTAGAGGGGCAGGCTTGCTCACTGTGGCTGAACCTGATTTGCGGAGTACTGTGGATGGGATAGGCAGGTTAGGTCGGATCTTTGTCTGTGTTGAAGTTGTAACAACAGGTGTCCAGGGGCTAGTATGTGCAACAACAGTTTTGCCAGAAAGCTTGATTTTGATGGGCTTTGCCTTCCCGGTTTCAGCTCTTCCATCGTCTTTGTCCTTACTGTTTTCCACAATGTCTTCCTTAGGGGCACTTGGGGCCACCAATGAACTTTTTTCTTCGTCTTTCTCTGGTTTCTTCCAACTGAACTTTCCAAAAGAAGATGCTACTGCTGATTCCTTTTTTACCTCTTCTCTTACTGGGAGTTTGAGGTTAGCATTCCTTTTAACTTCACCCTTTTCAGGGGAATTTCCACCCTCAGAGGGCTGGTCCTCTAATTCTACTGAGGCTTTCTCATCTTCCTTTGCTTCTTTCACAACTTTTGCCTTTTTTTCTATCTTCTCCTCCTTTGGTTTCTCACTAAGTTTGCGCTTTAGCTCACTTTGCCGTCGTCGCTCTGTTTCTAGGACCACAGCCAAGCCAGCTTGGCGGTCCAGATTTCTTCGTTCTTCATACAATGGGTTTTCTTCCACATATTGCTGGAAAGAGAAAAGATAAAGATTCAGTAAATTATCAAATTGCTCTAAGAGAGAGTCTTGGCCCTTGCCACTGCTACAACTCATTTAAGAATAAATCACTGGAAAAATCTTTTCAAAAACTACAGATAACTCAATTAGCCTCTCTCACCAGGACTGAAAACTTCCTAGTGAGAAGGGATGTGAAATCAGTGACTTTCTAACTCTGACATTTGACAAAGTCAAAGGAATTAGTACAAAGAAGTAGAGAATTCCACAAGGACACAAAGACCAACCTTGTATTTCTCATTGTGCTGGTGACCCTTCACATGCTGCTCTCCAGAAATTGGATCCCCCAAAAATTCCTCACAAAGTTGGCAGTAGAATCCAGTGGTGGGAATCAGAAACTCAGAGCCTGAAAGAAATAGAAAATAAGAAGCAAGCCTTTTCCATCAAGGATGAACAGGCAAATCCCATCACTCTACTGCAGTAAGATGACTGTGCCCACTTTGGAGTCAGAAGTGGCATTTAGATGAATCTCAAGGGCATGCTCTGTGGGCCTAAGGCTTAACTCTCTTTCTAGTCTTTCTACCTCTTGGGTACATTCCTAGTCTGGTTAAATCTGTAGTACCCTATGCCAGATCCATTCCTTAAGCTCTAACATGCATCAAGCATCTTAGAGGATATTTAAAAACTATGTTCCCAAATAGTTAATTCACTCATTTGCATGAGGGGCTCTCATGAAGTACTAAGTCTTCAGGGGTCATCTCTAAGCATACTGACTGCTTGTAAAGGCAAGAAACAAAACTTTAAAGACTTTTGACTTCTCAAACTTTTTAATAAAAACACTTCAAAACATTTTATAGATTTTAGTTGAAAAGGCATGAAGGAAACTTACCTTTTGCAGGAACAGTTATCTTGTCAGTTCGCTTTACAGTGTCTTGCTTAGCCTCACTCTGAGTCTTTGAAGCCCAAGGTCTGTTGTAGGGATCCAGTGTCTATTTGCAAGAGGCAGAGGTGCTCACACAACAGCACTAAAATCTCAATGACCCTTTTCTTCCCCTAAATATCAGACCAGGGGACCAGCAGTCCTTAGCTACCCACCCCCACCCACCAACTCTGCCAACTGTTTAAACGGAATCACCTGTGGAAAAGGTAAAAACATGTTAGCTCAAGTACTAGAAACAGAGAAATAAAAATTCAGGTACTGAAGGAATCAAGAGACAGAAGCCTCACTTACACTTGTGTGGTGTTTAGTTATGGTAGTCCCTGAGCTGAGCCCTGGGGATGGTATCCTTTGTTCTTATCTCTTGACTCTTCAGACTGGGGCTCCTGCCCATCTGAGAATGTTTCATCTTCCAGCTTTGCAATGCAGATGGGCACACAGAAAATGAAGGGGAATGAGAGTGATAGTAGAAAGAACCATGGTCAGGATACCTACCTGTGTGTGCTTCTTAGTGTGCATATGGGTGAAGAAGTCAAACATGGTCCCACATATGGTGTTACAGTCTTTGCACCAGTGATTGCCAGCATCATAATACTCATAAGCAGCAACAGGCTGGTCAGATTGCTTAGAGTTTGGCTGGAGGCTTTCAGCAGAATTAGGGCTCTTGATACAGGAGTTTTCATTTACTGTTGATTCCTAGAGAGAAAAACTTACACTTATAAAGAATTTAAGGCAGAGTAGATTTATATACTCTCAAAAAAACAGATGGTAATCATAGGAAGTATGACCATATGTCTAGTGTCAAAAACAAAAAGCTATATAAGATGGGGAGAATCTTAATAGAACCTGTATTCAAAGCTCAAGAACCAGGCAGTGGTGGCGCACACCTTTAATCCCAGCACAGGCTCCAAAGCTACAGAGCTTTGTCTTGAAAAACCAAAAAAAAAAAAGAAAAAAAGAAAAAAAGAAAAAAGAAAAGAAAAGAAAAGAAAGAAAGAATTAGGCCCTATAGTTCTTTCATATCAAGAACAAAAACTACTGGGGCTGAAGAGATGGCTTTTAAGTACCCACATGATGACTCACAACTGCCTGTAACTCCAGTTCTAGGGGATCTAACACTCTCTTCTTGCTTCTGAGAGCACTACATGCATGTGATACACATACATACATACATACATGCAGGAAAATTACTCATAAACATAAAAATAATAGAATCTTTAAAAAAACCACATATACTTATACATCCTAAAGTTTTTCTAAAAGAATACCAAGATCTCTGGGTAGTAGGGATGCATGCCTTTAATCCCAGCACTCAGAAGGCAGAGGCAGGCACATTTCTGTGAGTTCGAGGCCAGCCTGGTCTACAGAGCGAGTTCCAGGACAGCCTGGACTACACAGAGAAATCCTGTCTTGAAAAACCAGAACCAAAACCAAATAATGATGATGATGATAATAATAATAATAAAGAATTATTATTTATAATTCCAAGATCCTATGGGACAAGTGAGATGGCTCAGCAGGTAAAAACCTGAGGATCTGAGTTTGATTTCCAGAATTCATGTAAAACACTAGATCTGGTGTTTTACATTTGTGATACTAGCCCTCCTAGGGAGAGACAGGAGGTAGACAGGAGAAATGCCTGAAAGCTCATGGCCCGCTGGCCTGCAATTTGAAGCACAGCAGAGACATCAAAAAACAAAGTGGAGGAGAGAAGTAACTCCTGAAAGTTGTCTTCTTACCTCCTCACATGTACTATCTCTCTCTCTCTCTCTCTCTCTCTCTCTCTCTCTCTCTCTCTCTCTCTCTCTCTTTCTCCCTCTCTTTCATGAGTTCTAGAGCTTAAATTCAGGTTCTCATACTTAAAAGGCAAGCACTTTACATACTAAACCATATCTCTAACCCTGAATATGTTTTTTTTCNTGTGTATATAAATAAAATGTAATTTTATATGTATATATATATATTTTAAAGAGACTATCCAAGATTGTGAAAAGATTTGACTGCATCTGATGAAGGGAACTAGAGAACATCAGTGGAGTCAGGTGGTGGCGGTGCACGCCTTTAATCCCAGTACTTGGGAGACACAGGTAGGTGGATTTCTGTGAGTTTGAGGCCAGTCTGGTGTACACAAACCCTGACTCGAAAAACAGGGAAAGAGAGAGAGAGAGAGAGAGAGAGAGAGAGAGAGAGAGAGAGAGAGAGAGAGAACACAAGAGTGGAAAGGAGTCATTTCATTTCACTATACCCTTCAGTAGACACTGCAAGTATTACCTATGGAAACAGATATGCTGAATTAAAATCAAGGTAACTAGAACGAAAAGGGTGGCTAACAAGAATATGACAAGACTAAGTAAGTAACAAGTAAAATCACTGTTCTTGTGTGTTCTGGTACATATGGAAAGCCAACGCTCCACACAAATAAAACAGCAGTACTTTCCATGGATGACCTAAAGGAATCAGATCAAATATTCCTAAATTGCCTAAAAGCCACCAATAGAAGTTAATGATACCTTTGAGTTAATAATTAATTGTATTCATTTTGTGTGTGTACATGCAGGTTCATATGTGCCATGGCATGTGTTTGGAGATCAGAGAACAACTTTTGGAGTCAGTTCTTGCCTTCTGCCTTATTGAGGAAAGGTATCTATCTTTCATTTCTGCTGCTATGATATATACTTCTAAGCTAAGTGGCTGTGGTAGTTTGAATAAAAATGGCACCCATAGGACCACAGGGAGTGACACTATTAGGAGATATGGCCTTGCTGAATGAGGTATGGCTTTGTTGGAGGAGGTGTGTCACTAGGGGGTGGGCTTTGAGGTCTCAGAAGCTCCTAGGTAAACTGGGGGCAAAGGGAGGTGGTAAAGGGGAGGAGATGGGAGATGAGAACATGAGGGAATGGGATGGTCGAGGTGGAGAGGGATGGAGTGGGAGAGCAATGAAAGAGAGCTCTTGATAGAAAGAGCCACTATGGAGTAGGGAGAAACCTGGTGCTAGGGAAGTTCACAAGAATCCTCAAGGAACACCCCAGCTAAGATTCCTACCAATAGTAGAGAGGGTGGCGTGAACTGGCCTTCCCCTGTAATCAGACTGGTGAATACCCCAACTATCACCATAGAGCCTTCAACTAGCAACTGATGGAACCAGATGCAGAGATCTGCAACCAAGTACCAGGCCAAGCTCCAGGAATTCAACCAAAGAGGGGGAGGAGGAAATACATGAGCAAGGGAGGTCAAGATCATGATGGAGAAATCTACAGAGATAATTGAACTACGCTCATGGAAACTTATGAACTCTAGACAGACAGCTGTGGAGCCTCCATGGGACCTAACTAGGCCCTCTATCTGTGGAATACAGTGTAGAAGCTTGGACTATCTGAGAAGCCCCTGGCAACAGGACCAGAATCTATCCCTGGTGCATGACCTAGCTTGTTGGAGCCCGTTCCCTATGGTGGGGTGTCATGCTAACCTTTAATGCACGGGGGAGGGGCTTGATCCTGTGCAAACTTTATGTGCTAGACTTTGTTGACTCCCTATAGGAGGCCTTACCCGTTGGGAGGAGTAGGGGGTGTTGGGGATGAGAGGAGGCTGGAGAAGGGGTAGGGGTAGGGGAGAACTGTGGTTGGAATGTAAAAGGAAATTAAAAAAAAAAAAAAGAGTTGCTGTGGTCATGATATCTCTTCATAGCAACAGAAACCCTAAGACAGAAGTTGGTGCTAGGGACTTTTATTATGATGATAGGCCAAACCATGCTTTTATTTGGAAGAATGTGGACTTTGGGTTAGGAAAGCAGTGATATGCTTTAAGCTAAGCTTACTGGGCCATACTAGTAGGAACATGGAAGATAGTGGTGTTAAGGGTAATTTAAACTGTGCGGGCCTGCCTCAAGAGGTTTCTGAAGAGACTATTAATATGTGACCTAGAGATCGTCCTTATAATATTTTTGCAAAGAATGTAGCTACTTTTTGCCCTTATCTGAAAAGTCTGCCTGAGGTTAGATTGAAGAGTTTTATATTAATGCAGAGGAAATTTCAAAACAGCCTAGTATTGACTGTTGTGTGGTTATTAGTAGTCACTCTTATGAAGATCTATAATGAAAAGGAGCAAGCCGGGCAGTGGTGGCGCATGCCTTTAATCCCAGCACTCAGGAGGTAGAGGCAGGCAGATCTCTGTGAGTTCGAGGCCAGCCTGGTCTACAAGAGCTAGTTCTAGGACAGGCTCCAAAGCTATAGAGAAACCCTGTTTCAAACAACAAAAAAATAAAAAAGAAGAAAGAAAGGAAGGAAGGAAGGAAGGAAGAAAGGAAGGAAGGAAGGAAAAGAGAAAGAGAGAGAGAAAAGGAGCAAGCTAAGCAAAGAAAAATATAAAATATACAGTTCAAGGAGAAGGGGATACACAGGAACTAAACCCCGTGTTCAAGGAGATGAAAATAGATGAAAGAAAAGCCTGATGTTAGATAGAATAAAGGGAGTGATAACCTCAGGGCAAGATCCCATCCAGCTAAGCTTCCAACTTGTGTAAAGGAACTAAAGGAAAGTTTAGGGTCAGATGTGGTAGGGCACACCTTTAATGCCAGCACTCCAAAGGCAGAGGCAAGTGGACCTATGAGTTTAAGTCCAGCCTGGCCTACAGAGCAAGTTCCAGAACAACCTAGTTCAGGCAGTGAAGGAAACCATCAAAAACAGAAAGCTGGTGAAGATGTAATATTCTAATCCCAGCAAACAGCAGAACTTGTGACTTTGGCCACATGGTTCTGGCTTTAAAGAAGAAAAAAGAGCTATGGAAATTACCTTCACGACTAAGGAAAGCTGCTGAGGCCAGGTATATGGTAGGGGTTTCCCTACATGGAGGTCTAAAGAGGCCATTGTGTGAAGCTATGAAGGTGAAGCCTAGATTGATTGCTTTGGAGACCCCAAGATGTTAGGAATGCTAGAGCCATGGAATACTAGTCAAAAAGAGCTGCTAACATGAATGGAACCAGTCTAAGAAAGAGAAGTGTGCTGAGTCGACAAAGCTGAAAAGAGTTGGAGATCTGAAGAGTTCTTTGACATCATACATGGAACTGCAGAGTTTAGAGTTTGCCCAGCTGGTTTTTGGCCTTGCTTTGGCCCAGTATTTTTTTTTTTTACCATGCACCTTTCTGTAATGATAATGTATATCCTGTGCCATTATATGCTGAAAGTATGTGATCTGCTTTTTCATTTTGATTTTTTTGTGATTACAGTTAAGAGACTGCATAAATCTCAGATGAGACTTCAAACTTTTAAACAAGTTTGAGACTGTTACAGATTATGAGGACTAAATGTATTTTGTACTAAGATATGGCTACAAGTCTATGAGGGCCAGAGAGTCGAATGTGGTGGTCTGAATAAAAGTGGCCCCTACAGGACCACATAGGGAGTGGCACTATTAGGAGGTGTGGCCTTGTTGGAGTGACTTTGTTGGAGGAGGTGTGTTACTAGGGGTGGGTTTTGAGGTCTCAGAAGCTCAAGCTAGGTCTAGTGTGACATTCACTTCCAGCTGCCTGTTGATCAGATAGATATAGAACCCTCAGATACCTCTCCAGCACATCTGCCTGCATGCCACCATGTTTCCTGTCATGACTATAATGGACTAAACCTCTGAAACTCTAAGTCGGCCCCCAATTAAGTATTTTCCTTTGTAAGAGTTTCTGTGGTCATGGTGTCTCTTCACAGCAATAGAAACCCTAAGACAGTATGGCCCTTGAGTTTCTGGCTCATTCTTCTCCTTCTACTGGCCATCTCATCTTAGAACAAGTGGATTTATAGACAAAAATGACACTGAATCCCTCTTTTTACAGGTTCTGAGAATTGAACTCAAGTTATCCAGCTTGTCTAGTAAGTGCTTCTACCTGCTGAGCTTGAATTCTCTTTTAAAATATAACTCTCCAATCCTATCAATAATAAATGTTTTATGTATATGAATTGGTCACTAGGTTAGGAAAAGGCACTTAGAGACGACTGAGAATGCAGCAGCACTGACTGTTGTGGCGCAGGCCTTTAATCCCAGCACTCTAGAGCCAAGGGGGTATCTGTGAGTTCAGAGCTAACATGGTCTACACAGTGAGTTTCAGGCCAGCCAAGACTACATCGTAAGACCCTGTTACAAAAACATATTTGCAAGCTTCTATAGGAGTCCCTAGGGGAAAAAAGTAACAGCAAAGTTATATCATTACCTTGTTGTTAGAGGAAGAGTTTGAGGGTGACAACTCTTTTTCTGGGCTCTTAGATTTTTCTCCTTTTTCAGGCTTCTCTGTAGACTCTTTACTGTCATTTGAGGATTTTAGGGATTTATCAAAGATGTCAATTCCCAAGATCTGTGCTACTTTGTCCAGTTCAGATTGCTTCTTTTCTGCTTCTTCTGTCTCTTTATGTAGCTCTGTGATGTCCTTCATAATGCTATCCTGAAGTCGACTCACCTCCATCAGAAGTGGGTCTTTGTGACCATCTTTCTCCCTTCGCTTCTTGCGCAGCATCTCCCCTGAATGGTCAGATGTTTATCAGAAGAAATCCATGGAAGGTAAACTAAGAGAATTCATTTCCTAGGTTTCTAAGTACATATAGCTTTGTAAAATATATGATTACAAAATCATTTTCCACCAAAAAATAAAGCAAGTAAGATTCTGTTTCCATAGAGGGTTGAAGGGCAAGTGGTAAGGATAAGTTAAAGTTCTACAGATAGGGCTTCAGGAGCTCCATCAATTCTCCAAGTGATATATGCAGGTTTGTATTTATGTACCTCCTAAAAAGATTATGTGACTTTATCTGATTTAAGAACACTGCCAATTTCTATAATGGTTTATGCCTAATGTCATTTCTTGTTCATAACTGTAGGTCAGTCCTTACAGGACAAAGTAAGTTATTTCATCTTAAACATTATGAATTCAGACAGAAACAATTATCTTTTTCTGTTCTCTTCTCTTTCATACTAATATCCAGTTGCAGTATTTAGAAGCATTGCTATTTTTCCCTCATGCAAATGCATTCTTAAAAGCACAGATGAAGAAATGGAAGGCAGTGCATATCTGGAATCCCATCACTTTGAAGGTAGAGACAGGAGGATCAGGAGTTCAAAATCCTCCTGAGCTACACAGTGAATCTGAGACTTACAGGCTACAAAAAATACAAAATGCAAAACAAAATGAAAAACAGAAAATAAGAGGAAAGAGAAATAGAATAAAAAAATCACAGAATATTTTGGGCTAAAAAGAGATCTTAAAGTGATGAGCGGATATCAAAAGGACACTACCAACAACTCAAAGTGGTCCCCATTAGCTAAGTATGGAAAAATTTTAGCATGGAAATAAATAATGACAATGATAGATGATAACCTAATTATCACTGAATAAATATATACTCATACAATGACTAAACTAATTGGGGTAGGGGTTAGAAGTCTCTCCTTAAAACAGAAACCACACTACATAGAAGGAATAACAAAATTAGAAAAATCACTACTTAACAACCATCAAAACAAGTTTCTCAGGGTAGAAACATTAATTAAAACTGTGGAAAGAAGCTTCAAGAATAATTTTTACTATAGTTACAAAGATTTCCCCTGAAAGACACTATCGATGTAAACTTGACATTGTTTTTGCCAGTCTTGCCAAAATGTATAATCCAAACTTAATCATAAAGAAACAGCAGATAAATTAAGGATAAATTAATAAACATTCTATAAAATACATGACTTTTCTAAAATATCAAATTATGAATAGAAAGGCTCAGGAACTATTATTAAATGGTAAAAGACTAAAAGACTAACAACTGAATGTGATAAATCTTTGTGATAAAACAAATGGTAAAATATAAATAACATTGGAGATTAGCTATTACAATTAATTTCCTAATTTTAAAAATCTTTTTGCATGTGTGTGTGTATGACTCTGTGTGTGTGCACAAGTTCACATATATCCTTATGGAAGTCAAAGGGCAAGCTTGGGTATCTGTCCTCACCTTCTATCTTGCTTGAAAAGAATTTCATCTGCTGCTGCATACGCCAGGCTTGTGGGGATTCTCTTGTTTTTGCGTCCCATCTTGCCACAGAAATGCTGGGATTATAGACGCATGCTATTGTATCTGACCTTCTGTGAGTTCTGAGAATCTAAACTCAGGTCCTCATGCTTGTACAGCAAGCCATCAGCCTATTCCTAATTCTCTAACTTTGATTAGTGTATTGTATACTTGAATTCCTGTTAGGAAATACATAATGAAGTTCTAAAGGGTATCATATCTACAACTTATTCTAAAAGAGTTCAGGAAAAATTACACATTAAATGCCAGGCATGGTGGCACACACCTTTAACCCCAACACTCAAAAGGCAGAGGCAGGTGAATGTCTGAGTTGAGGCCAGCCTGGTCTACAAAATGAATTCCAGGATAGACAGCTACACAGAGAAACCCTGTCTCAAAACAAAACAAAACAAAACAAAACAAAAAAACAAAACAAAACAAAAAAACAACAAACTGCATACTCAAATACAGAGAGGAAGAGAGAGTGGGTAGAAAGAGAAAGAACAGGAGAAAAGAAGTATTAATAATTTGAGAGATGAGGACTACCTGAAGACTCTGCATGGCTATACAACTTTCCTCTAGGCTTATGCCCACACCGCTCTTGCTGACCCACATCTGAGCACCAGCACCTCTGTACTGGGGTCTCCTACAGTTACTATTCACACGACAAGGAGGTCAGACAAGGGGTTACTTGATACCTTGTTGTTTATGAAGCCGCTCCAGCTCAGTCCTGAGATAAAACATTTTCTTCTGTCGGGCTTCCTGGTCAGTCTTCAGTTTTTCTCTCTCTTCAATAACCTACAGAGTACAAAACAGTAAGAGTGTATCTGAAGTTCCCAGAAAAGATCAAGAGGGCATGTAGAGAAGGCAGAGTCACACTTGTGTTAACGATTCTATATGGTGATGTGACTGTGGAGAGTTAAATTTTTGAAGACCAGAGCCAAACTATTTTGACTCCCTTTAAAATCACCCACAGCACACACCTGTGGACTGTCTGACCTAACATCCTGTGACTACCAAAACCAAAACCAGACAATTTTTTTAACAGGGTTTCTGTGTAGCTTTGGAGCCTAACCTGGAACTCGCTCTGTAGACCAGGCTAGCCTTGAACTCACAAAGATCTGCATGCTTCTGCCTCCTGAGTGCTGAGATTAAAGGCATGTGCTACCACTGCCCAACATATACTTTTATAAATTATTTTGTTCGGTAACATACAGAGCTAGTTCCAGGATAGGCTCCAAAGCCACAGAGAAACCCTGTCTCGAAAAAAACAAACAAACAAACAAACAAAATCTCACATAACTTAGCCAGGTGGTAGTCTGGTCTACAGAGCTAGTTCCAAGAGAGCCAGGACTAGAGAGGAAAACCTGTTTTAAAAACAAAAACCCTCCAGAGTGAAACATGTTATTTGTATTCATGGGTCATGGTCACTCCCCCCATCCCCCCCCCCGTTTTTTTTTTTTTGGTGTTTCAAGACGTAATTTCTCTGTGTAGCCCTGGCTGTCTAGAACTCACTCTGTAAGCCAGGCTGGTCTGGAACTCAGAGATCTGCCTGCCTCTAACTCCTGAGTCCTGGGATTAAAGGGATGCGCAGGCTACCACTGCCCAGCCAGAATGAATTTATACCCTTTATAAACTGTTTTAAGAGTCCCTATTTCCAACATCCTTCTTTTCTATTTAGCTCTTACACTGGTATCTTAAAGTCTAGTTCAGTGGCACTTACCTCTAAATCTTAGCACTCACATGCTTTTGCAAAAGGATTGCTGTAAATTCAAGGTCAGCCTGGTCTTACATAGTAAGCTCCAGGATAGCCAGGGTCACAGAGCAAGACCCAGTCTCAAAACAACCTTTCAGCCAGAGTTCAAATGCCTGGACATAGAAGCTTTGTTTGTAGTCAAAGTAACGTTTTATTCAGATCCAAGTTCAAAACCAGGATTTTATCCTTTTATTCAGAACTATACTACCTAGAAAGTTTTCAAGCAGGAAGTAAAGCCATTGACAACACCACTGCATAGTGACTCTGAACCCGGGGTAAAGATGAAGAAAAGGAGTGAAATGTGGTTTTTATTCATTATATCAGCTGTATTATGTATTTAATATTATCTAACCTTCACATTTTCTCCATTTTACATTAGGAAAAGTAAGGTCATATAGGATTAAGTATCTCGGGGCTAGAATGCTCAGCAGTTAAGAGCATGTATTGATCTTGTAGAGGACTTGAATTCAGTTCCCAATACCCACATCAGGTGGCTTACAACTGCCTATAACTCTAGTTCCAGGGCATCCTATACCCTCTTCTGGACTTCCTGAATACCTACACTCACATGTGCACAAATGTGTGTGTGTGTGTGTGTGTGTGTATCTACAAAATTAAAAGTAGATCTTGGAGCTGGAGAGGTAGCCCAGTGATTATGAACATTGATTGCTCTTCTAGAAAACCTAGGTCCTATATATCCCCTGCACTTCCACAGTGAAACAAAACTGCCTGTAATTCTGTAGTCTCAGGAGATCCGAAGCCCTCTTCTCGTCTCCAAAACACCAGCCACATATATAGTGCACAGACATACATGTAGACATAACACATACAAAACACTCATACATATAAACCAAGTAAATTCTTAATTTTAAAATAAAAAGAATCTTAAAAAAGAAAAAGAAAAACAACTCACCAGGTGATGGCAGCACACACCTTTTATTCCAGCACTCAGGAGGCAGAGACAGAGGCAAGTGGATCTCTGAGTTCCAGGCCAGCCTGGTCTACAAAGCTAGTTACAAGGCAGCCTGGGCTACACTGAGAAACAGTCTATAAAAAAATAAATAAAATAAAAAACTAACAACAACAACAACAAAATCAACAACAAAAAAACCCAAATCAAAACAAACAACAAAAAAGCTCACCCAAGGTCACACAAGTCAAACTAAATTTAAAATTCAGATACAGATTGGGCATGGTGGCATATGCATTTAACCCCAACACTCAGAAGGCAGAGGCAGGTGGATCCTTTGAGTTTGAGGCTAGTCTGGTCTACAGAGTAAGTTCTAGGCCAGTAAGGGCTACATAGCAAGACCATGGTTTCAAAACAAACAAACAGACAGACAAACAGATATAGCTGTCCTGAATTTATTATCTCTTAACCAGTTACTACCAGGTAACAGAAAAAAATGACTTGTCTTTAATAGACAAATGAGGAAAACCATTGTCAGTCCTTAGTGTTAGGGTATTAAAGAGAAGAGCTCCAGCTCCAAAACACTTTTTGTTGTGTTTTGTTTTGTTGAGACAAGGTTTCTCTGTGTAACAGTTCTGGCTGTCCTGGAACTCACTCTGTAAACCAGATTGGCCTGGAACTTGCAGAGATCAGCCTGCCTCTGCCTCCTGAGTGCTGGGATTACTGACATGCACCACCACCAACCGGCTTTTTTTTTTCCTTCCAAACATTTTCTTGAAGTCTACATTTTTTTCTTTACTGAAACTTAAGACTATCAATGAAACTTATGGCTAAAGTTCAAAGCATTTAAATACCACAGAAAATTAAATTTTTATCTTCCAGGGATTAAATTCTTTAAATGAAAAGATAGACTTTCTGATACTTCAAGGTTCCTAGCTTCTACCCTCAGTATCTTCAGACTATTCATATGTCAGAGAAATAAACTTAAAAAGGCTAGCCATCACAGTGGAACCTATAAAAACAAAATATTAGAAGCTCAAAGGGGCTATTATGTACATTATTTGGGTAATGATGTAAACCTCCAAGAAGCTTAAAGTACAAAAGGTCTTACAAATTTTCACCCCCTCTAAAAAAACATGTACAAACTAAAAACTATGTTTTTTTGCTAAATAGAAATAGAAAATAAAAAACTCAGGCATGAGATGCTCAAAGCTAATATTCACCTTCTGCTTCTGAGAGGCACGGTTCTTTTCATCAGAGATCTTCTCTGGATTATATCTTATGAGTGATGGAATGGACACCTGAACAGGAACCTGCTTAACAGAAATTGAGCCTAGCGCTGATACCTCTTGTTTAGACTTTTCAGGAGTCACAGTGGGGATCACACGGAGATTGGGACGACTACTATGAGTAGCTTGTTTGGTTGTTGGTATTAGCCTGTGTGGTTCAGGTAAAGGGTGGCTAGATGGTTGAGAGGCAGGATACATGGGCCACCTTGAGGCTGTGTATGCCATGTAGTGCCTGTAAGCATCAAAAGAGGCAGAAGGAATGACAGATCCCTGGTAGTTTGGAGGTATCCGAGGTGCAGCAAACTGAGAGGCTCTTGGTATATAGAACTGGGATAAAGAAGCAGAGTGTGGAAGCCTAATTGGGGTAGATGGGGCTGATGGCAACATGCACCTAACGGCAACAGGTGACTGAAACCCACTGCCTACTACCTCTGGTCCTGTAACGTGACCCATTGGATGGTCAGACTTTAGGAAAGGAGAGCTATTTTTTGTGAGCAGGTAAGGATCTACTGGGGAGGCTGGGTGTGGGTGGGATACTTCTGGGGACTGAGTGTTGCTGTGATGTGCCTCCCTGCTCTCCAGTCTGTGATGATCTGATGAGCGCCGATCAGTTGTGAAACTGTGGTCAACTGAGGAACAGCGGTCAGCTGAAAAGTGCCGGTCAGCAGACAAACGTTGGTCAGCAGATAATCGTCGGTCAGCAGACAAACGTCTGTCAGTTACGGAGCGTGATGATGGCTTCTTGCCATGAAGTCGTTCCTGGGTTCGTGCAGCCAACTTACTAATTTCTGCTACTCCAATATCCAGTCCTATGGTCTTAAGCAAGTCATGAATCTTGGCATATTCTGGATTGCTCTCTTCTAGTGATTCTAGCTTTATGGCTGGAGTTGAGGGCAGAGAGCTTGCTTTCTTTTTCAAATCTTTACTCTCAGAGTCCCCAAGGGACTTAGGTGGAGATTCTGCTTTTATATCCTCCTCTTCATCCCCATAGAGAAATTTCTCCTCATCCTCAATATCAGGGAAACTACGTCTTCTTTTTTCCTGTGTACTGGTAGGATCAGCCAACATGCCCAGAATTCGGGAAAAGCCACTGCCATCCTGGCTAGCTCTCTCATGGGGCAGTAAGAAGTCTGTATGTCGTTCAAGTCCCTCAGCTTTCAAATTCAATTTTTCCTTATAGCACAGAACACTGTCAAATTTTTCACTGAGAGGATTGTTGTCTTTAGATATCTCATGGAGGGGACCCCACTGGAATATGTTACTCTGAGGTTCCTTCAGGTCAGCCACTGCTGTAGTCCCCTTATTTTCCATCTCTGAAGCAAAAGTAGCAACAGCACCACTTGGTGGAAGAGGTGAATGTTCAGAATAGAGAGGACGATCCTGACTGGAGCTGGTACTGCTGGAAAAGCTCTCAAGCTGCAAACACAAACACAAGACACTGGTTGAGCAGCTATGAGGAATCACAGAACACTAGTACCTGAGATGTTTCTTGAATAGGAGACGTTTAACTATAAAAGGAAAGTCATCTAAGTTCAAGAAACAAGTTCCCCATCTCTTCAACTGTCTCCACCATAGCAAGGAGAAAAAGAGAAAAGGGACTGAAGTAGACAGAGTGGTTGTGACCTTTACCTGTGTGTTCTACTCTTTATCAAGGAATCTGAATTAAAAAATATTTTAGATATTTTCTTTAGCTTGTTTTCCTATTTTGTTTTCTTTTAAGAACTGTATTATTGTTGTTGGGGTAGGTGGTGTGTAACTATGTGGGCACACTGAGTACAGTGTGTATGTAAGAGGGGAAGGGGAGGTGTATGAATATATGAGCACACATAAGCATAGTGTGTGTTGTGTGTGTATATGCAGAAGTGCGACTATATGGGCAAACATGAGCACAGTGTGTGGATGTATGCATGTGTGAGAGAGCAGGTAAGAGGTGTGTGAATATACAGGCACACATGAGCAGTGTGCTGTGTGAGAGAAGAGAGGAGGGGAGGTGTGTGAATATACAAGCACACATGAGCACAGTGTGTTGTGTGACAGAGGGGAGGAGGGGAGGTGTGTGAATATACGGGCACACATGAGCACAGTGTGTTGTGTGACAGAAGGTAGGAGGGGAGGTGTGTGAATATATGGGCACACATGAGCACTGTACATGTATGGATTTTCAGGAGTTAGAATCTGGGAATGAAACTGAGCCATCAGGCTTGTCTCCAGCCACGTCTAACTTTGTAGCTCAGGCTGGCCTTAACTAGCAATGTGCCCTAGTAGACTTGAACTTGGAATCCTCTTGCACTAGTCTCTCAGATGCTGGGATTATGGGTGTGTACCATTTCACCCAACTTATTTTCGTATCTATTGATGACCAAAAGAAAAACACACAAGTAGGATTATTCTGGAAACAGGAAACTCTAGAACTCTAACCTATATCAACCTCCCCTTGCTTCTCTAAGTTTTAGTACTGGCTCAGAAGCCTCTAGTCACACTAGTAGTCTTGCCTGACCATCTTTTCATAGAAAGAAAAGGCAATGTTAAGGCCAGAAAAGTTGTGATTTATCTCAAATTTACACAGGAAGTTGGTAGTTCCTAAACCAGAATCACTTGATTTCTAGTCTTATGTTCTACAACTCATACACTGTCTTCTTCTAAAAAGATGAAGAAATCTGGATTATCTTCTCCTTTTGTCCTTAAGCTTCATTTCCAAGAATCCATATTCAAAGATTCCCATAGGGCTATTCAATTTAAGGAGGGAAAAACCCAAGGCAGATACTCTTCTAAATCAGAGCCCTTGTTGGTGCATTATGAGCCTACAGTTTAATCTGGAGAGTCATAGAAGGGGTTGGTCACAGTTAGGCATAAGATGTCAGCACAGCACAAGTGACACAGACACCATTAAGGAACACAGTCCCAGGAAAGTATCAGGATTTAGGATATCAGAGGGACTATCAAGAAAAATACAACAGAGACCTGCACAGATGGTTTCATGTCCACTTCAGTTCGCTTCTTCAGAATGGACTTCTTGGGCATCACAGGAACTTCTTCAGGCCGATGCAAAGAATATTCTGGCTCTGATGTTGTTAGGACACTTGACAACCCAGGGATGGAACAGCTAGTTCCATCATCAACTCTCACAAGCTCCTGACTCAAGCTCCTATTTTGTTCCTCCTCTTCCTCTCGCTTTCGCCTGGCAAGGTCCAGTTCTCGAAACTCAGGGTCTAGAAACCTTGGGCTTGGGCTTCTTCTTCGCTGTCGATAGTTGCGAGTCCCAGATGTAAAACTTGAGTGATCCCCTCCTATGCCATGTACCTTTTCCACGTCATCATAACGGGGCCTTTTGGTCTCCCGGCTTCTTTCCTCAGATCGTACGGAGTAAGAGGAGCTTTTGAGTTTGTCTCTACTCCGTTCTGCTCCCCTCAACAGTTCATCATGACAACTGATATGGGAACTATACTCAGCTCTATGCAAAAAAGGTTCTCTTGCTTGGTAGTCCTCATCAAGTTGTCCCAAGAAGGGACTAAGTTGCCCCTCTTCCCGAGAAATGTATCGTTCAAGGCCCCGAGAGAACTGGGAGCTTCGTGTGAAGACAGAATCATCAGTCAGATCATCCCTGAGAAAAGAGACAAGCATCACTGAATATGCTGGACTTGGAGAGAGAATGGCCAGACAATGCTAAAATAATATTTGGGAAGGGGAAAAAAGAAGACTTAAAGCAAAAGTAAAATGTGTCTGAAATCCAAAGACACATTACACATGGAACATTTCTGCTCCCTTTCCCAGGGTCACCAGCATCAGCTTTAGCTTCTAACCAAGAGGTGTTATCACTAATATATCAATAGAACACTTACATTCAGTATTAGTCTAAGGATGCAGTGCAGTGTATCACGCTGGTACCCAGGAGATACAAAATACCACAAAGAGACCAAAGAACTAGAGAAATGATTCAGCAATTAAGACTGCATACTATCTTCTAGAGGACCCAAGTTCAGTTCCCAGTACCCATGTTCAATGGCTTACTACAATTTCAGGGGATTAGACACCCTCTTCTGGATTACAAAGACGCTTGCATTCACATGTATATACTCACAAAGAAGCACACAAATACACATAATTGAAAAATAAAAATAAATCTTAAAAAAAATCAGAGTCCTAATTGATTCAACTGGACTAGCTAGATCAGATATAGCCTTTAATCCCAGCACCTGGGAGGTAGGCAACTCTGAGTTCCGGGGCTACATACTAAAACACTTCCTTGGAAAAAAAAAAAAACATAACAGGGACTGGAGAGATGACTCTTCTGTGAAAAGCACCACATGTTCTTCTAGAGGACATGGGTTTGATTCCCAGCACTGACATGATGAGCTCACAACTATTTATCTATTACTCCAATTCCAGGGACTCCAATGCCTTCTTCAGATGTCTTCCTCAGGTACATGAACACAGTGTGGAGACATACATGCAGGAAAAACACCCAAACTTATAAAAATAAATAAATCTTAAAAACAAAATAGTAACAACAATAAAAACTTACCTAGCTAAATTTAAGCTCTTTATCAGGACTGGCATCCCTAGCATTAACTGAGAATTTATATAAAAAAATGATTCTAGGGGCTGGAGAAATGGCTCAGTGGTTAAGACCATTGCCTGCTCTTCCAGAGGTCCTGAGTTCAATTCCCACCACATCTGGCTCACAACCATCTGTAATGAGGTCTGGTGCCCTCTTCTGGCCTGCAGGCATACACACAGACAGAATATTGTATACATAACAAATAAATATTTAAAAAAATGATTCTAAGCAGACATGATGGTTCATAACTGTAATACCAGTGAGGACATTAAGTTCAGAGACAAAGTCCATTAACTTTGAGGACAGAATGGCTATAGGACCTTATCTCAAAAACAAAACAGAAAAACAACAAACAAGAAATACACAACCTCTGGAGGCATCACAGTCCCTGACTTCAAACTCTACTGCAGAGCTACAGTACTGAAAACAGCCTGGTATTGGCATAAGAACAGACAAGAGGACAAATGGAACCAAATAGAAGACCCGGATATCAATCCCACACATCTTCAAACACCTGATTTTGAAAAAAAGCAAAAAATATCAAATGGAAAAAAAAAAAGAAAGCATATTTAACAAGTGGTGCTGGCATAACTGGATATCAACATGTAGACGAATGAAAATAGACCCATATCTATCACCATGCACAAAGCTCGGGTCCAAATGGATCAAAGACCTCAACATAAAGCTAGCCACACTGAACCTTATAGAAGAGAAAGTGGGAAGTACACTTGATCGCATTGGCACAGGGAACCACTTCCTAAATATAACCCCAGCAGCACAGACACTGAGAGAAACAATTAATAAGTGGGACCTCCTAAAACTGAAAAGCTTATGAAAAGCAAAGGACACGGTCAACAAGACAAAACAACAGCCTACAGAATGGGAAAAGATCTTCACCAATGGTCTGATCTCCAAAATACACAAAGAACTCAAGACATTGGTCATTTCAAGAACAAATAATCCAATTCACAAAATGGAGTACAGACCTACACAGAGAACACTCAACAGAGGAATCTAAAATGGCTGAAAGACACTTAAGGAAATGTTCAACATCCTTAGTCATCAGAGAAATGCGAATCAAAACAACTCTGAGATTCCATCTTACACCTGTAAGAATGAATGGCCAAGATCAAAAACACTGATGACAACTTATGCTGGAGAGGTTGTGAGGTAAAGGGAACACTCCTGCATTGCTGGTGGGAATACAAGCTGGTACAGCCCCTTTGGATGTCAGTGTAGTGATTTCTCAGAAAATTAGGAAACAACCTTCCTCAAGACCCAGTAATACCATTTTTGGATATATCCAAAGGATGCTCAATCATGCCACAAGGACATGTGCTCAACTATGTTCATAGCAGTTTTGTTTGTCATAGCCAAAACCTGGAAACAACCTAAATGTCCCTCGACTGAAGAATGGATAAGAAAAATGTGGTACATTTACACAATGGCATACTACACAGCAAGAAAAAAAAAAAGAGAAAGAAAAGAAAAAAAATATAACGACAGCTTGAATTCTGCAGGAAAATGGATGGAGCTAGAAAACATTATTTTGAGTGAGGTAACCCAGACACAGAAAGACAATAATTACATGTATTCACTCATAGGTGGTTTTTAAACATAAAGCAAAGAAAGCCAGCCTACAAACCACAATCCCAGAGAACTTAGACAACAATGCGGACACTAAGAGAGACTTACATAGATATAATCTACATGGTAAGTAGAAAGTAGAAAAAGACAAGATCTCTTGAGTAAATTGGGAGTATGGGGATCTTGGGGGAAGATTGAAAAGGGGAGAGCAGAGAAAAATGTAGAGCTCAATAAATATCAATAAAAAACTGTTTGGTCATGCTCTTTCCTGCTTTGCCTGGATATCCACAAGAAGTCTATTACCATGGGACCCAAAAATAAATGTTTTGGTTCACTGTGTATCTTTATTTTTCAGAAATACCAAGGTCTCAGATCTTTGTATCATACAGGTAAAAATTCAGGATAAGATGGTTCTTTTTTTAGTTTAGAAGTAGATAATAAAGCTAGCTATTTCAGGACACTATGGCCACAGAGCTTCTATGACTCAAAAGACAACGGTTTTAATTTAAATCACAGATGGAAATAAAGATCCTTTAGGAGTTTTTAAAACTACATGTAAATTTTTTTGTGTGTGTACATGTCTATATGTATGTGGGCACATGTGATTCATGGCCCATATATAGATATCAAAAGAGAACTTGTGGGACTTGGTTCTCTCCTGCTATATTGTGTGCTGGGTATCAAACTCAGGTCTTCAGGCAAGTGCTTTTACTTGCTGAGACACATTGCTGGCCCAGACATCCTCTATGCCAGGAGATCCTTTAGAATTTTAAAATCCAATTTCATCTAAATTAAAAAAAACAATAATGAAACAAGTAATCTTAGGACTTAGGAGGCTGAGGCAAGATAATCACCATGAGCTTGAGACCAGATGTTTGTGAGGGGTTATGTGGGTGCTGGAAATCAAACGGGGGTTCTCTGGAAGAGCAGCCAGTGCTCTTAACCAATGAGCTATCTCTGCAGCCCCATAGAAATAACCTTTAAAAACATCTGGATAATTTTGAGGTCTTAATGTATTATGAAATAGGACTAGGAATAAACTAAGAATGGCCTCTGAAATCTCACTGAAACACAAAAAGTTTGCTCTGTCCATCAACCATAAATACACCTATTTAAGGGGGAATACTCAAGTTGATTCACTATCACCAAACCACCAACTATATATCAACAAGTTTCATATTAGTGTAGGAAAAAAACCTCTTAAACTATATTTATAGTAGCAAGGTCACCTATCTTCCTTTCCTCACTAGAAGTAGGATATGTCACCACCAAATGAAACACTACCTCAATATCTAATATGACAGTAAGTATCAAGAAGCTACAAATAAGGTGGCTCTCAGAAAGCCTCAGCAGACTTAGAATTGCCAGCAAAAGGGGGATGCAATAGAAGGAGGCACAGAACAGTTAGAAACAAACAAAACAAAACCAGAAGCTATCATATAAATATAGTCCACAGTCAGGCTGCTTATTAGAAATTTAATCCTTCTTTCTTTTTCCCAGGGGTTAAAAGAAAACTGGCTGTCATAAGAGACAGTCCTGGAGAAACAAGATAGCTCAGTGATTAAGAGCACTTGCTATTTTTCCAGAGGATCTGGGTTCAGTACCCAGCTCACCACCACCTATAGCTCCATTTCTAGGGCATTCAAACTGGTCATACAAGTCAGACACACACACATACAAACACGTAAACACTCAAGACACACAAAACTTTAAATAAAAAATGTGAGTCCTAAAAAGAATCACCATTGTCTGTAGCCTAAAGCAGTACAGTGACAGACACTAAAAGCCTTGGCCACGCTGGTACATGCTTTTAATACCAGACCCTGTTTCAAAACAACAGCAACAACAGCAGCCTTCACTAAGAGCAATTGTTTGGATGCTTGGTTGGTTTTTCACAAACAGGGTTTCTCTGTGTAGCCCTGTCCTAGGACAAGGGTGGCCTCGAACTCAGAGGTGCTCCTACTTCTGCCTCCAGGGTGCTGGGATTACAGGATAAGCCACCACCAACTACTGACAAACTGTTTAAAACTAGATCTCTAAAAAAGAAAAAAGGAACATGAAAGCTCACTGTACTGTATTTTCTATTTTTAAAAATTATTCTTAGGGGCTAGAGAGCTGGCTGCTCTCCCCCAAAAACCTGGGTTCAATTGTATGCACCCACATAGCAGCTCACAACTGTCTGTGTCTCCAGTTCTAGGGGATCTGACACCCTCACACCAATGCACATAAAACGAGTTTAAATAATTTTTTTTAAAAATTGTTTTATTAGCATATATGGCACTCCTGCCCAGACCACAGAAGCAGGATGTGACCTGCCCCACCGAAAAAGGTACTAACCCATATGGCTAACATAGATAAGAATAATGGGTTAATATAAATTCTAAGAGTTAATAAAAGCCTGAGCTAATGGGCCAATCAATTTTATAACTTATGGAGATCTCTGTGTGATTTTCTCT